AAAAAAAAAAAAAAAAAAAAAAAAAAACACTGAACATCACCAGCGTAAAAGCAAATACTGGGCAACAAATTGGAAAAGATGAAAACGTAATTCTCTGTGTCGAGAGGTGCGAGATTCCCCCTCCTCTGCTTGCAGCATTTCCTTCAGGAAACACCTCACTGCGGGGCTCCGCCTCTTAGAGGGTGTGCAGGGACAGTGTGCAGGCTGTGCGTGGTCTCTGCTCTTCATGGGTTATATCCAGAGTCCCCCGAAGCGCCTGCACTCAGGCGTGCGGCTTACGGGAAGCGATGGACCACGGCTTACAGCTAAACGTGAGGTTAGGAGCTGGGGTCTGGCCCAGAAGGGCTTACAGCTAAACGTGAGGTTAGGAGCTGGGGTCTGGCCCAGAAGGGTGGGGCCGCCTCCCGCTCCTCGATCAGCTTCCTGTGGGCCCTGAGCCAAGCAGTTTTCCTCCGCCAGGCCCTTCCACAAGCGGCTGACACTCACAGAACGTGAACCAAGATACACCCGCCTCGTTCCTGGTTCTTTGTCTCAGCGACTAAGGCTCCTATATTAAAGAGTGAGGGTGCTCTCTGTTTGTGCAGTCTCTTTGCATTTTGGTTTAACATTTATCCAAAAAAAACAAAACCATCCCTTCCCTTCTCTCTTTTCTTTGAGAATTTTATGGTTCATTTTTTCTGCTGAGGATTGCAGTCAGGACTGTGAGCCTCGGGGTCTGGGGCACAGTGGACACGCACCCTAATGCAAGCTGTGCCCTGCTCTCGGTTTTCTCTCAGATTGTGTGTCCTGAACTCCAGCCCACCCACCTTCCCAGTGGGAGGCTCCCTCCAGGCCCACAAGCACACCTATGAGCGTGAGTTTCTTCCTTTGGGATCCTGGTGCCCAGACGAATATTAACTAAAGAACTGAAATTCTTTTTGAAACATTTTCAAATCTTTCACCAGGGATATTTTGTCTTCAAAATAAGTTGGAAAAAGTCTGGTCTTGACTTTCTGGAAGAATCTGTAATAGCAGTTGCTTTGAGAGACGAGCTGGCCTGCAGACACCTGATTGCCTACCCGGCCTCCAGGACCGCGCGACCGACCATCTCTGGTGTTGTGGAGCCGCAGGCCCAAGTTGTGGGCTGTCTTCTTGCCCAGGAAGAAGGTGTTGTTCTAAAACCATCCCCTGTTGTCTCTGTTTATTAGCCATTTGGGGCAGTGTTCACAGAAGGGGGTTTCTCCGGATTTGTTCCTCACAGTTGTCAGAACCTTGAAAATCTGTCCCTTGGTGGTTTTTACCAAAGTGAAGAATATTCAGCTTTTAACCCTCGGACACTGCTTCACCTCTGCCACCTCCTTTCTCTTCTCCTTCCTGAACCTGAGCCTGGGCCTGGGCCTCACAGACATGGCTGCTCAACACGGGCCTTGGGTCTGTCCCTGCACCTTCGCTTTGCTTACTCCTGAGCTTTCTCTTCTCTTCTCCTCTCCTCTCCTCTCCTCTCTCCTCTCCTCTCCTGTCCCCTCCCCTCCCCTCCCCTCCTCTCCTTCCCTCTCACCTACGCTCCTCCTTCTTTGTATTATTTTGTTTTCTTTGAGACAGGGCCTTGCTACGTAGCCCAGGCCGGCCTCAAACTCACGACCTTCCCGCCTCAGCCTGCTGGGGCTGGGCTCACAGGCGCACACCACCACACCTGGTTTTGCAGCACTTTCTTTTAACTGGTCCTCTGGCCACCAACCGCCACTACACTGTGAATTCCAGCAACAGAAACTGACTTGGTTACCACTTTCACTTCTGGACTTCCCGTATTTTTGTGCGACTTCTCTAGATCTCCCATGTTTTCCCTGCTGATGTTCGCACATTTCTTATGAACTTAACGTATTTTAATGTGCCCAGAGCAGTGGCGTCGGGGAGGCCTAGAGCAGCAGCGATCCTGGAAGCAATAGCGGGTCGCAGGAGAGGCAGCTTTTCGCGGATGCACATGGGGTGGCTTCACGTCGGCCTGACTCTTCATTTCCATCGCTTCACACTGAAGTGTGGAGTAGCGCTCGCTCGCTCGCTGGTGGCAGCCCCGCTTCCCTGTGCTCAGGAGGGAGCCAACGCCTCCGACGCTGCATCCTCGTGCCCAGCTGGTCGCGCCTCTGCCGCTGCAGGAAGCCCTGCCTCACGAAGACGGAAACTGACGCAGACCTGCTGGCGCCCCGGGGGAGCCGCGGGGAGCCCTCGGACCTAATGCACAGAATCCGGGGACCTGAGGTTTCTCAGACACACTTTCAGGGCTGCTGTTGCTTGCAGCTCCGAGCGGTCTTCCTCTTTGGCACACTCAGTGCCTGGCTCAGTCCCGAAGAGCTCACGGGCCGTCCTCCCCTGTGCAGAGGGCTTCTGGGCAGCGATGGTCGGACCTTCTTGAAAGCCCACGTGGGTGGTCGTGCACAGGCCGGGGGGAGGGGGGGAGGCCCCACTCTCGCTCTTTCTAAAGCTTTGCTGATGTTTGAAAAGTGCCAGCTATCCCTCTGTTCCCTCATCACCCCACAGTTCTAGCTTGGCTTTGAATGCAGGCGTTTTATCTGCCAGCTTGAATACGGCTTTCATTCTTCCCTGACGAGGGATAGAGTTTGTCAAGCAGGGTGACTTGGTCACACAAGTAAGCAAGCTTAGCCACTGAAATGTGCTGCTGGAGCGACTCTCGTAGCCCCAATCTCTGGCCAGGAGTCCACTGTACAAAGCCACCCCTCTTCGTGGGAGGGAGAAGCTGTGTGTGCTCTGAGCCCGTCCCCCAGAGCTGTGCAGACAGACGCCACCTTGAGGGCCGACCTCCACGTGGTGGTGACGGTGTCACACCATGCACAGCGTTGCCAGGTTTAGGCACCGTTTCCGGCTGGCCAGCGTTCCTCCGTAGATGATCCCAGGCCAGCCCCACGTCAGACGCGAGCTGAGCAGTGAAGCCGGAAAGCTAGGAGGCCCATCATACCGCAACATGAAGCGGTCACTTTAGCTGTCCTGACGCGCGGTCACTGACTCCAGCGGCTCTGCAGCCGCACTGCTGGAGGGCGGTGAGGTGCCCGGGTCTCGGCGCACATCCTCCTGGAAAGGCGCCCCGTGAAAACACGCACTGTTGTCTCGTGTCAGCCTCGGCAGGCTCCTCAGCCTGGACTGGGTGCCACGGGGGCGCCTCGATCCTCTCCACTGGCTCTCCGTCTCCTCTGCTATTTTATCATGTGGTTACTGCACTTGTCTAAAGAGGAACACGTACTGTCCTCCTTTGTTATTCTTTTGTTACCAGGAATCAAACTCAGGACCTTGCACTTGCCGGGTAGGTGCCGTGCCGCTGTGCTATAGCCCACAGCGTCACCCAACCCCCTTTTTAAGACAGGATCTCGCTGTAGTTCAGGCTGGCCTTGAACTCAGTATGCAGCCCAGGCTGGCCTCTTACTCATGGCGATCCTCCTGCCTCAGCCTCCTGAGCGCTGGGATTACAGGATGCTGCTGCCACGCCCGGCCTCGGGCCACCTTGTGAGCTGCGTCCTCCTCTCCTAAGTGTTCATGGCAAACGTCTTCAGCAGCAGGCAGGATCAGCTCCTCCCCAACAGAAAAGGGCTCCTTGCTTTGGCAAAGTGGCTGCCACTGAGAATAATGCTCCCAGGGCAGCCACGTCTGATGCCGTGGTGGCCCCCAGGAGTCGCTTCTATTCCTTGGGCTTAGGGTTTGTTTTTTCCTTCTGAAAAACTCCAAACCTGGTCTTTCAACACAAGGCTCTCGGCCTTGGTGCGCCAAAGCAGCGTTGAAGCTTACAGCTTCGCAGGGCAGCCGCCACTGCGTGTTACACAGAGCCGGCTTGTGAGTCACCTGCTGCAGTGAGCCGCATTTAGGTCGGCCTCGTGTCTTCTCCCGAGCGCAGCTGTCCTTCTGTGGCCGTCTCGGGCCTTCCGTGGCATCTCTGGGCCGCCCCCCTTCCGAAGCAGCTCTCGGGGCCGTTTGTTTTGTACTCATTCTGGCTAGAGCTGGCCGTCAGTTTCCAAAGCCATGACTGAGACGAGTGGTGGTGCATAAGCAGGACCAGGCAGAAGTGGGCGGCCACACGTGGCCTGAAGTAAGTGGCGGCCACCCGTCACAGCCGCCCGCGTAGCTGAAGAGCACTCACTTGCTCGCCACTGTGATCCCCGCGGCCAGACGCAGCGTGTTACTTGCACTCACTGATGAGCACTTTGAGTGTGCAAGCGGTCGGTTGGTTCCGGCCTCTGTGCAGTCGGCCCTCCGTGCCTGCGCCCATCCGTACGTGCAGCCGCCCCCCGGCGCTAGCCTCACCACCTCAGCTGCGCTTCACGGTCTCATAAGGAGCCGCATCCCGACCCCTCACAGCCACAGTTCACAGCAGTGTCCGCGCTCCAGGGGGACTCTACTGCCCCACCGATCTGGCAGCAGGCAGCGCTCAGGGGCCATGTGGGCCATGAGCAGCGGCTGGGAACCCCGCACAGCCTGTGCTCGCCTCCTGCTGTCTGGCCGAGCTCTTACCGACAGGTACTGTGTCTCTGGCCGAGGGGCTTCCTGGCTAGCCTCTGCTCACGTGACCCATGAGTCAGGACTTACCCAGTCATTTCCAGCGGGAAGAAGTAAGGCACTGCGCAGCAGAAGGAAATTAGGACAGCCCTCACCCAGCTCAGGGGTCCAGCTGGACAGGGAGCCTTGCCCAGGGTCTTAGCACAGCCCGACGGCAGGGGACACGGCATCTTCACTCACCTTCCTTGCAGTCATTAGTTTCATCTAAGAAGAAAGAAGAGGAGAAAGAGGAAGAGAAGGGGAGAAAGGAAGGAGAAGAAGAAGAAGAAAAGCGAATTAGGAATCAGGAGGAGGCCGAATGTTCGGCAGTTTCTGGGCCCCTAGGATGAAGTGAGAAGGGGCTAGGCAGCCCCTCATTCCCCGGGGCCTTTGCACGTGCCGGCCTCAGTGGTGTGTCTGTTCCGAGCTACCTGCAGTCTCCCTCAGGGGGCGCCTGTCTTGACCAATCCTCACACACAGTCAGCCTCTCCACGCTGCCCCCCTCTCCTTTACGCTGGCATCTCCATAGGACACAACCGCATCTGCCACACTCGCAACCTCTTTTTTGCCCACTTTTGTTTTCCTTTGACACGGGGGATGGAATCCACATCCTTCACACTGAGCTGCATCCCAACCCTTTTTATTTTTCATCTTGAGACAAGATCTTGCTAAGTTATTCGGGCTGGACTTGAATTTGCAATCCTCCGGCCTCGGCCTCCCAGGATGCTGGGGTTACAGACACGTGCCACGAAGACCAGGGCCACCTAAGCCTTTCTTTTCTTTCTCTTCTCATCAGAATGCTAGCTCAACTGGACGCCCATCAGGTCTGTCCTGTTCCCTGTTCTCTCCCCCAACACCTAGAACAAGACAGCGCTGAGGAAGATGAAGATGAGGAGTGTGAGGCCTGGTGTCCCCCACAGGCCCCAGCATAGACAGCACACAGCGCATGTTCTCCACACGGGGGAGCACACCAAACTCACCGCTCAACACCTGCAGGCTCAGCAAACCTGGAGACAGCAACACAAAAATCGGATCACAGGGCAGCCAGATCAACACCACACCACAGCCCCACAAGGTGCCCTGGCCACCCTTCTCCAGGAGGTGCCACTGGACCCCATAGTCCTCTGTGCCCACCCCAGGGCCGTGGCCTGTGCTGCACCAGCAGGAGGCCCACGCTAGGCGCTTGGCTTGCCCAGCACCGGCTCAGCAAGTTGCCTGCAGTGGGCAGAGGAAGGCCCGGAGGCGGGTGCTTACCCAGGATCTCTGTTGTGGTCATCGTCCATCGTCCATTGAGGCAGGGGACCAGGCAGCCAGGCAGAGGGCCAAGTGTGAGTCCGGGGGTGACCAGAGACCAGGCCAGAGGAGGGACAAAGTTACAGCGTCAGCACGAGACAGGACCAGAGGCTGGGGTGACCCATACAGGAACGGGAGACCCTACCTGCCGCACAGGGACCCAAGCCGACTGTGCTGCTGGGAGGAAAAACCAGCCCTCTCCTCCATGTGTCCCGAGGGTCAGCCTCTTACGGAGCTCCCAGGGGGGTGGCAGTACCATCCCGCCTGGGCTTCTCAGAGCCTGTTTTGTTGTTGTTGTTGTTAGGCAGTGTCTCACTATGTAGTCCAGACTGGCCTCCAACTCCTGGAGATCCTCCTGCCCCAGCCTCCCCAGTGCTTGGATTACAGACACGCACCATGCCTGGTTTAGAGCTTGTACTCATAACAGTTTGATTTGCGTGTACTTCGCACAGCTTACGGCTCCCCTACCAGTGTAGAGGTCAGTGTTTTCCGGTCTGTTTACAGTTGTGCAGCCTCACTAGGGCCAACTTGGAGCATGTTTGTCGCCCCACAGGAACCCCCACATCTGTGCACTGTCACCTCCAAATCCCACAAAGGCCACTCCCCACTCAGGGTCCCCAGGTCCTGCACCTCCGGCTGCGCCTGGCCGACACCCCTGTGCAGGCCTGGAGCAGCGGTGCGGAGTCTGCACGCCATGGCCTGGTGTGTGTCTGCTGGGCACACGGCTGCTTGGGCTACCGCTTCACCCCTGGTGCGCTGCGGGCCACGCCCGCCTCCCGCTCCCAAGGCCACGCCCGCCTCCCGCTCCCAAGGCCACGCCCGCCTCCCGCTCCCAAGGCCACGCCCGCCTCCC